AAATATTTAATAAATATATTTCGAAAATATAATAAAATAAAAGCAGTATAAACGAAAAGATAAAAATATACCTACACACATAATACATATACATATATAAAAACACATACATACAGCTTGGTGCAGCCAACAGAAAGCTGGTTATCGGAGGCATACAAACAAATACAAATTGAGCGGATTTACAAAAACAATACCATACATATATGTAGTTACATGCATACATACTATTTACAAATATACAAACATATGTACAGGGTGATTCATTGAGACCTCAGTTTGGAAATAATATGTAAAACAAGCAATATTGTCGAAATGAAAGACAATGAAAATGCCCACCACGACTCGTCAGGAAATATAGATTGCGCATTTCAAAATTTTCCAATAATTTTTGGCATAGTGCGAGCTGTATACCATTTATAACGCGTATGACTTCGTTCCTCAGCATACATATTATTCAAGGTCATGTCACCTAATTCAAACCATAAAGGGTTTGTTTTCATGTTTCGATAATGTCTACCGCAACAGTCTCACTGGCATCGAATAATTGCTGTCCGTTGACTCCACCAGTACCAACAACCACGCCAAACAGTAGTTTCTCTTTGTGGGTGCATAGATTTCTCTTGAAGAACCTTTAAGATTCCTTTACATGGGTCGATTTCTGTCGACTCGAAAATCGACCTGTGTAAAAGCAGCTTTTTGCGTGTTGTTCAACTGAGTATCGTTCAATGATTAAGTTCGCCAAAGCCTGTAGTACCAATTGTGTTACAAAAAAATTAAAAGAAAAACATTAAGATATCACAAATAATTGCTCTCAAAGATCTGCATCACCCTTGAATCATCCTATGTATACATTAAAGGATTTTAATTTTGCCGGTGAATACATCCTGATTTTAAAAGTTTACTCAAGCCACCCATAAAACCAAATATTGTTCTTACTTCCATACATAAATTGTATATACAATACATAGTACATACCTAGATATGTACGATCTACACTCTTTTCTGCCGCCGATCAGAGTCCATAAGATATCAACAAACTGTATGAATTTTAAATGAATATATCAAATTAAATTCGTGTATACTAATTAATAAGAATAAAAAAAATAATAATAACAAAACAGTTGAAATATATTTTTTTTTCTATAAATCTATTTGGTAAGTAAAAAAAAGAAGACAAAAGGGATACTTCTTTTCTTCGCAAAGCTGATGTAGGTACATATGTAAGCGTAGGACCATCGCGGTTATATAGAAATATTGAGTGTTTTGAAATTCCTAGCCTAGGTCAAATAGGAAGTAATAAGCATTTGAAGGTAAATATTCGCCGCTCATATTTGGCGCTCTTTGACCGAGTTGAATGTCCATGCAAAGGATGGGTTGGTATTGTGTTTGCCACTTCGGACTTAGGCGCGAGAGAAGCTATTGTGGTGGCTCAAGGGCTTCCGCTGGCTCTGTGATCGTGATTCGATGCATCATGTCGCGGTGTGTATTGTTCAAGGCTTTAGTTTATTGCGCCTTCGAGAAACGAAGCTCTACGTTCGACTTAGCGTAGTACTTCCAGCCTAGGAAAAGCCTTCTCACATATCTAGGTGGCAGTTGTCACGAAGCAAAGCGTTATTGAGACGGTTTACGTTGAGTTTTAGCCTGGCCTTCATCGTCCATATTATGAAAGGTGTGCCAGCGATTTTAGCTGCTAGTTGAATCTACCGCTATCAAGACAATCACTAATTTCATGGCAAAAACTGTCGTAAGTTCCTAAAGCAATCCCAGATAACGACGAAGCAAATTTGATCAAGTAAAGATTAAACAGCGTCTGGGATAGAAGACTCCGTTAATCCATCGACGGCTGGCACAGCAGAGATAATTGATCATCCACGGCTTCATCGGATCTGAAAGGAACGAGTCAAGGGTGTCCTGGTAAAGTGTCACTTTACTTTCGAAAGACCAAACGCGTGAGGAAACACAAGATCGGCGTTTGTTCAGACCATCGCTTATCTGTGCGGTGGTTGCGTTCAGCGCTGCTTTCGTGCTAAGCATCGTTCGGAATCCATGTGCAATTGATGTACACTCTATGTTTCAATTGAACAGCTAATTGGCAAATCTTAGTTTAAACCAGCCAGCTCGAGCGTTTAGTCTAAGTTTAAGCCACATCCGTGCACTGAAAAACCGACCCTAAGTTTTATTCTTGATAACTGCAAGATTTCATTTAAATTTTTTCTTATATATATATACATTCTCATTTGGTTTTGATCTAAGCAAGTTTTATCCAAATCGATTGGGGTTTTGCAATTAAGTTTCAAAAGAATGCTGCTAGGTCCTTTTCCTGTTCCTTCTTCTTGCTCATTCAGCATTCACCGTAACTACGTTTCAGAGTAGGGTTTCCGAGCATAATCGGCCCATCAAAATGAGTACTTGTACGTCGATAACAGAAAATTAAGCGAAGGAAGTAGCGTACGTGCCGTAGAGGTACGCCGCAATGAAGGTGTTGCGTCTGCAAACAAAAATCAGCTGTTCCTTATGGCCGCGTACTTGGGGTTTACACAGGTAAATTTTGCAGATACAATAGCAAAACATTCACACTTTGTTTACCAATATATTCACACTTTTCTTGATGTCTTCGTCACTGTCTCTGGCTTTTAGAAGACAGTTTATTGTCTGGATGCCTACTTTACTCAAACAATGTGACAATTAATACATATTCTCATTTGTCTTGTCTTGTGTAAGCGCGGGGTTATACAACTCTTAGCTGTGACGGACTCATGTGCGTCAAAATTTGAGTATTGGCCAACGTTCGTTGGGTCCGTCGACGCAAGGGTTGCCAATCTTGCGCTCTCTATGCAAACACACACAGGCTACTCAACTGTCAGTTTCATCCTTGAGCGGAACGTACGCAAAGTATTCATTCTGACAGGGCTATAAGGTAAAAGTGAAGGTGGCCAACATGTTCGCCAGCAAATGCGTGACGCCGCACAATGGGACTACAGGGATCAAAATTAGTAAGAACGGATTATTAAATTACCAAAAGGCAATGATGGAGATTCATAAAACAATATAAAACTGCATAATTGCTGGCATTAGATGAGCTTAATGTAGATACAGTTTAAAAATAAATTGGTAGGCGAACATTTTGATTTTGTCGCAAGTAGTTTAGATTAATTTTTACACTAGTGCGGATATTCAATAATCTAATCTGATTGATGATCAGTTTTTTCATATATCTGTGGTCAAGCATTGCTGTAAATTTTTATATATATTTGCTGAAATTCATAATACAGTTTCACTTGAAATTTACATAATTTTGTGAGTATGAAATTTTTCAATTGCCTAATTTAAAAAGGGATATTTAAAAAGGCTAGATAAATTATTCTAGGGATAAGTCATCATTAAGTATGCGTATCATATTTGAAATAGTTCCAGCTACGTTCAATTTTGATATAAGCTTGTATTGTTCGTTTTATTGACACCAAAGAACGTAAATCTATAAGAAGATACAAAACGTTATAATTGTAGCGAGTCTCAACATCAGGAGCGAAGCTTGCCTTCCCTTTTGCTCAAATACGTTTTTAGACTGGATGAAAAGAGAAGGTACGCTCCTGATGTTCACATTCGCAACAATTATAACGTGTTGTCTCTTCTTATAGATTTACGTTCTTTGTAGACACGAATCCTGTAAAATTTATTGAGCTTAGATTAAGTAATATGCAATATAAAATGGAAGTGGAAGAAGGTGTACATATTTATGACTCGCGAATCTATTCATCAGATTCGGAAATCAGCGCTTTCGGTGAAAAAGTCCTACTTGCCTTAGCTCAACATTTTTTGTTTATAATATAGGAGTAATTAAAGGTTTTCGTGCAAGCAATTACCTTCATTCGAAAGCGAGAAATGGAAGCTGCTTTAGAAATAAAATAAACTTGTGTGTTAATTTTATCCAAAAATTATAAAATCTAGCATTTTAAGACTAAAGGAGAAGTGTAAGAGGTGGGTGTAAAGTGGGAGTCTCATTGCTACCTACCAATGAAAAAAAAATTTATATTAGGTTAAGTTACTTAAAGTCTAGACTAACTCAACCTCATATATGTGGCATATTTTTCTTCAAATGCAAAAGTTAACTTGCCAATAGTCAAGTTCCTCCTGTAGAGAAAACACTGTAGTGGCCGTTTGCTTACATTCTGACAGCCAACCATTCACAATAGACGAAACAGCTGTCAACGAAGAAGAAGCATATGACAAATTCGCCAGGCCGATGGGTACACAAAAATTTTCGCTGATTGCACAAATGTATAAAATTCGTTAGGAGGACTCAATTAAAAAGCGTAGGAATAATTTTAATTATTAAAAGGTGAGATTTATCAACGATCAACCAGCGCCATGGCGGAGCATACGTTCCTTGGCACTTGGGAGGTGAGTGAACGCCGGTTATTTTACAGTCAGCTAAATTAAATGTGTAAATCATTTTTAAGATCGTGTCCTGCACCTTTGAACATAAAGCGGAAATTTCTGGATTGGAAGGGTATGTATTATTTAAATATGTGTGGTATTTATCAGGATTACTCATTGAACTTCATAACTAATTTCAGCATTAAATTTCGCCTGGATGATACGAATGATATAACATGGTATAATGATTTGGTTAATCCACTTCCAAAATCAAAAGACTGCGGTACTTGCTGCGATTCGGCAAGTGTCTTATTTAGTTGTGAAACATTCGATGTGAACGAAACAAATCCACGTTTAGTATTCGGCGCCTTTGCTGGTCATAGCATAGAATTTAGAGTAAATTTTTTGGTGCTTCTGCTTTATATGCATTAACCCCTCTCGTTAATTACGATTTGCAGACAAACACTTTAACACCGACTGATACGCTTATCTTGGACTGCGAAAGCTGGTATACATTAGAGTGCAAGCGGCTGAAGGAGTGCCACGCTGCCGGGCAAGAAAAAGAGTTCTCCTTCGCAGAGGCGCTGCAAGAGTCGTACTTCTCGGATGTAATCATTAAAAGCTCTGATGGCTTTGATGTAAGCAGTCTGGCATTTCTTTGGGATTGTTTTATTTATTTAATTTATAATACAATTATATGTTTTATTTTAATTTTTGTTTTAGTCTTCATTTCGCTGCTCTAATTAGTTGACTATTTGAGTTCTCATTTCTGCACAAAAAGGTTTCCATTAAAATTGTGTTTATACGCTATAACCAATTTTTTCTAGTTCCATGCACACTCTTCCGTTTTACGCCTAAATGGCTTCGACTGCAGCATGTGTGTGCTGACGAACGAGTCGATGTTGCCGCAGCCACCTACTGCTTGTAAAAACCACGACATATTGCAACCACAGCAGTACCAACAACCTCATAAAGGCCAGGATAGTGAGGGAGCTGGCACTTTACTTGGTGCGTCCAATGCCATCAAGATTTCTGTGACGCTGCCCATATCATGTTCTGATAACAATGACGATAGCCAGAAATCATTGCCGCGTCTCAATCTGTCGCCCATATATCTGCAACCGCCCTGCGAATATTCAAATGTTGGCAGCAACAGTGGCTTAATAGCTCATCGCAGTGGACATTTGTCAAACTCTTTTAATTGCCTCTCGAGTAGCGCCAACAACTATGATAAAAACGCGTCCAATGCAGAAGGCGGAGGAATGCGTCGTTTTCCACCCACTTCCAATTCCGACTCTCATCTCGAAACGCAATCTCATTGCAAAAATATATTTAATTTCTGTCAAGATTTTTTGCTGCAACCCACAGAGCCAACTACTGTGTGTAATACCAGACGCCCGCCTCTGTCACCATATCGCGCACGCAGCCCTTCGCCCTTTCCCAGCTCAATGGATACGCCGCCTTCTTCGCCTCTAACACCGGTGGGCGTTCTATACAACTTGCCGACATTTTTGTTGACGCCAGTGCTTCATTGGTTATACACTGAATCCCTGATGCCTGATATGGACGAAAATGTTTGCGAGAAGCTGATAAATTTCGCGGAAACGCAACCTTCTCTCACAAAAATGGTTGACCCAACTAGAAAGTATTTGAAACTGATACAGCTTAAGAAGTGTAAGCAATGCCTCCATGGTTTTAATGTCTAGATTATTAATTAATTACAACCATTAATTCTTCCTTAATAGTTGTGATTAATACTCTAATGGATACTCATTCTGTGCTCAACCACATCATACAAGCAATCAATCCTGTTACTATATCCCATGAACCCGCCTCACTCTACGCAACATTCAAAGACTGCCTCAAGGAATCTGCAATCGGTAAGATACGTACATACATACGAGAAGAGACTATGAAAAATTATTATAAATATATATATGCTGTTGTCCGTACAGGGTGTGCGAAAGTATTGCAATTTTGTAACATCTTTATTCGAGATGGCACAGATATAACGCGCTACCAAAAAAATGAGATCATCAAATATGTGCGCACACGAATTCCGATTTTTATGTCACAAATACATCAACTCTTGCGTAATATTTTGAACGTTTTTATTGGTTTAACTACAGAGGAGAAAGCAGAGTTGGTAAATTATTTAGTACCTGAAGTAAGTTTGAAAGCGCTTTTAGGAAATAAATCCGTCTTATAATAAAAACTTTGTTAATTATATTTAGATCGAATCCGCATTGGTGATACTAACTGATGTCGTCGAGGAAATTAAAAATTCCTTAGAAAAAATGTGTAAAGTGAGTAGGCATTACGCGAGCATTTTCATTGTTTTATATTCAAATTTTGCATCATTTATGCATGTACATATACGCGTGTTGCAGGATATAAATTGTTCACATTTGGATTTGTCGGTGAGACAGCTGTCTGACAATTCAATTGCAACACAAACTCAAAACATCGCTTTTATCAGCGCCAATGTAGTGTTGGAAGATAACGCAGCTCCGCTGTTTAGTCCACCTCCTATATCGCCCAGGCTTAGGCGTGGTCCCCCAGTGGGACTAACTCTTTACGATAATCCAACAGATAATAAGCGCCTCATGACTGCAGAAAATGATCTTAAATTCGTATTGTATATGTATGAGGTCCGAAAGATGCGTGATATATATGGTCGAATCGCAACGGCTTTGGAGATTATTAGGGACAAAAAGTAGGCGTGGCTAAAAGCCTTCTTAGAGTCAATAGATAAGCTAATGAAAGCGATTTTTTTTTAATTTATAGAAATTCATTCTGCGAAATGGATTACTTAAGTAAAAGGAGCACTATAAATCAAAATCTGGAACAGTTAATTATAGATATACCGGCATACATTTTGATAATGGAAAACCTCTCAGACCGAGTTGACGAGAAATTGGGCTGGAAGGAGTTTAAATTTTGCTTCAAATTGGCCACAAGTCAAATTGTATGAATTATTGAAAATGTACACATACTTATGTATATATTTTAAATTGCTCTGTTTATTCTAGAATGGCGTGATTGTTAAGCTTTTTGATCATAAGTCTGCGCTGCGCGACTCTATCAGCAACGTAAGTTGCTTGTTTACCTGTAATATATGTATATTTTTACTCAATTGCATAATTTTAGGTGTGTAAGCTGGTACAGAAAAACGAATTTACTCAATCACTTATAGAGCTTGGGCTTTTAGAGCCTTCCAATATTTTTGAACACGAACTAAAGCTAGCGGAAAATGACAACATCATGGAAAATGTGACTGATGAATTGACATTGGAGAATTGTCGCTCGTATGACTATAAAAATGTAAAGGTATACTGCTTTTTTATTACAGCCGCGCTTTTGCAGCTTATACTATGGTTTGATTGTGTTCATGCAGCTAAACTTGACAAAACACTTATGTGAGCCACCCATTGCCGCCAATAGTAATTTATCAAAGAATGCCTTACGTCTATTGCACTCAGCTCAGCTTGCGGATATGGAATTTGAGGTTCATACTTATTCGTCAAGCAACGCACAGCTGCCTGGCATAACAATATTGCACAAGGATGACATTGAGGTGACACAAGTGCATACACAGTTGCAAACACCGCATTCGGTGCAACTTCAACGACCACCAACGCAAGTACACACATTCCGTGCACATCGAGTGATTGTATCGTCGCGTTGTGAATGGTTCAAAAAAGCCCTTCTTTCCGGTATGCAAGAAAGCATAAAGAGGTAAACTTGTCAGCTGCTTATCTGAACTACCGCTGAATCCATCGGAAGTCCTATTTTCGTGAAATCTACGAAAATTTGATTACTGGATCCGAATAGCTACGAAGGTATACATTCAAAGTATACACCACGTTCGTAGCTATTCGAATTCAGTGATGGCGTTTATAATTGTTATTAATCAGCTTTCAAAGCAACTGCAACTTTTTCTTTTAGAAAAATCATCATAACCGATACTACGCCAGTGATATTTCGGCGCTTATTGCTGTATATTTATGGCGCACCTATAGATAAAACTGTGGGAGCTGAACAAATTTGTGAATTAATGCTACTATCTGATCGCTACTCAGTTTTTGACTTGAAGGTTGCAACAGATATTTAAATAAAAAATTACAGCTCTAATAATACAATTTATTTTTTAAAAGGAATTATGCGAAAATACTCTAAACTCGCTGATAGATGAAGAATCGGTGCTTTGTCTGCTGGGTATCGCCGATCGCTACATGGCCACTGCGTTGAAGTCGAATTGCTTATCGTTCCTATCACAGCACGCGAATCTGACAAAAAACGAAATGTTCAAAGAGTTACCACAAGCTCTTCAGGTATTGCTTTTGTCTGTATTTGGTTAAAACTGTATAAACTTATATTTACAAATTTCCATTTGTCACAGTTAGAAGTGATGGATTTGGTGCATTGGTATGGACGCGTTTCTGAACCTTGGGCCGATGGTTTTAAGTCACGAAGCGGTTCACGTCACAGTCTGAAGAGTCCTTCAAAGCCACGTTCTAGGTCCCGCAAATCGTCGCCCTCTTACATGTGACGATGACTGCGGCGTACATATATGTAAATAGCGTTTGCTGCTGAAGTGACATTAGAAACAAGCAACTGGGATTGAGTTTCAGGATTAGAAAAAATCAATGGAGTAAATGAGTATCGCTTACCTATGGTGGTATTTTAAACTAACATCCGAGAGTCGTAAAAACAAAAAAAAAAAATAATTTACAAAAATTTCTAGTTTTAATTGATACTCGATGTTGGTACCTATATACATATCTGTTTTAAGAGCGACCACATACCTTTTTTCTAACGCTTACAAGTGAAAATCCGTTTTTCAGCTATGCATGTATGTATGTTAAGCACAATAGCTTTTCATCATATAATTTTTTCCATAAAATGTTTTACACGCTTATTTTTTATCTAAGTGACCAAACCAGTATTCAGGTGTATTTGAATATTTATTGTGATTTATGTTAATACGCTTTGCAATATTAATTTATTAACAATTAGGGTGGTTTAAATTTTCAACTATTGTAGTAAATCTATAGTACTCATACATATCCTTGTTATTATTGTACATTTGCTATACTATATGTATACACACATACAAATTATATTATCTGAGAGAACTTTAACTGTGTTGAAATAAAGTATTATAAGCGATTAATTTAGAAAAATTTACCATTTTGAAAATGTTTAGATAACGTGTTGTGCTAAATGTAAATGGGGTTTAAAATGTAATTGGTGGGGAACAAACATATTTTTATTATGCAAATTTTCAAGCTATTTAACCTTAAAGAAACTCGTATTTACATGTATTTTCTAGTTGAAATTTAAAGCTAAACTATAAGCAATGCAAACACAAAACAATTCAAAGAAATTACAAAAGCAATGGCCTGGCAGAGTAAAAAGTGAAAACGACTCAAAATTGAAGACAATGCCAAGGCATCCTCATAGAAATCTATCTGCAATAAACTGGATTGAAAATGATTGATTGTAATTTTAAAAAGATATTATAACTGAATAGGTGATGTACTCATTATTATATTGTTTAATATTAACTAAATATGTTTATTGTTGTATTTTAATTCTTTAAAAAAGATAAATGAATTGTCAAAATAAAATTAAAATGTATGTTCTTATATAAAATGCGTGTTTGTTTCTTTTAACTTACATACATATCGACGCGCTCTTGTTTTACGCCTTAAGGCTCAGTTAGTCTAAACTTACGTAAGAAATTGTCAATGATTACTCAACACGCGAACTTAACCAGCAGCGAAAATATTTTGTTTTTGTATTTTCCGTTTCCGAGGCGTTTGATATGAAACGAGGTTTCGCGTGATTTCTTTAATCTGATGCCGGAGAATATCATAAGAACTGCAGAACAGTTATAATTTCGAAAAAGTAGAGAATTTCGTTTATGTGGGAACCAGCATTAACAACAATAATAACGTCAGCCTCTGAATCCGCGGCAGAATGATACAGCGCCTATGCTGGCTTAGTTAAGTCGTTAGAATTTCCAATTGGCGTCAGTTGGCACAGAAGAGAAACGACTGCCGCGCTTTGTTGGAGGGAGAGTTCATAAAAACCCATACCGCTTGCTCCCACACCGCCAAAGCTGTCTTTCTTGCTGCCATGATTTAATCAGCCTCATTGCGTAAGTCGTAAATTAGGCTGAATTGTACGACTCGA